GCAATCATTAGCTTTTATTAGCCACAGTTGATTTGCCTTTCATATTGGATGTTTGTGTCTTAGAATGTATATCTGTCATGTACTATGACAACAATTGCTAGTGTTTAATCATTTGCTAATCATACAGCCAATTTGTCCCACATATCATTTTAGTTTCCCTTTGTTCACATGCTTAAGAAGGAATAATATCACTTAAGTTTATTGTGAAATTTTATCTCAATTATTTTACAAAATTTAATGTACTGTTAAGTTTATTAATTAGCCCTTTCTCATTACATGATACTAAATCTAAAACAGCCAGACTATAGCTGGTATCAACAAATTGATCTGGATCAATTTTGTATCCTACAAAGAGGCAGGCATAGCCGGGGCCTATACAGGTACCCATGGCCACTTGCTTTGTCTGAAGGAAGTGGGAGGAGTTGAAGGAGAAGTTAAGGGTAAGGATGAGTTTGGTTAAGCAGATAAGGATATCGGTGGAGGGGGACTGGTTAGGCCTGTGGGAGAGGAAGCGGAGGGCTTTTAGGCCATTTGTGTGGGGAATACAAGTATATAGGGGCTGGACATCCATGGTGAAGATGAGGTATTGAGGGCCAGGGAATCGGAAATTTTGGAGGTGGTGGAGGGCATGGATGGTGTCCTGGATGTAGGTGGGGAGTTCCTGGACCGGGGGGAGAAAATGGAGTCGAGATAAGTTCGGTGGGGCAAGAGACAATGGGTTGACCAGGGCAGTCAGGTTTATGGATTTTTGGGAAGGAGATAGAAATGGGCGGTGTGGGGTTGGGGAACAAGAGGTTGGAGGCTGTGGGTGGGACGCCAGCTGAGGTGATGAGGTTATGGATGGTCTGGAAGATGATGTTTTGATGGCCAGGGATGAGGTCATGATCAAGGGGACGGTAGGAGGTGGTGTCAGAGTTGGCACCTAGCTTCAGCAATCTTAAAGGTTAATGCGCCATACCACAACTGCACCTCCCTTATCTGTGGGTTTGATGGTGAGGTTAGGGTTGGAGCAGAGGGTTGCACATTCTGCGGGGGAGAGGTTGGAGTGGGTGAGAGGGGTGGAGAGGTTGAGGCGATTGATGTTGTGACGGCAGTTAGAGATGAAGAGGTTGAGGGAGGGTAGGAGGCCTTGGGGTGGTGTCCAGGAGGATGGGGTGTGTTGGAGGCGGGAGAAGGGGTCAGTAGAGGGGCGTTAGACTCACGATTGAAGAAATAAGCATGGAGGTGGTGGAAAAACTGTTAAACATCCAGGTGTGACCGGTATTCATGTTTGGGTGGAGGTGGGTAAAAGTGAATTCTTTACTGAGGACTGACCATTTGCCCTCAGTGAGGGGGAGGTCTGGGGGAATGGTGAAGACCTGGCGGGGCTGGTGTTGACTATAGCTGCTAGTTGTAGGGGCTGAGTGGTGTCTTTATTGGTTTCTTTTATTAAGTCCCTTTTTAAAGAGTAATTCTTCACCTCTATCTTCTCTCAATGAAGATGATCATTGGATATTCAGTTCCCAAGCTTGCTGTGTTTATCTATTGGCAATTAAATTATACCTATTTATCTCCTCTTGTCCCTTCAATTTTGTTGTGAATGCTGTGTGCATGCAAATAGTGTCTTTAATTCTCCCTTTTTAAGTATCATTCTGCATTCTTATCCTGTTTACTTGCTGTTCCTTCATTAGTCTTTTAATTACTTTTGTACTAATTAGTTTTTATTTCTCTTCAACTGAGCTTTGCCTGTGCTTCCCATACCACAGCCGAGTTGGTTTAAATCCCTCCCTGATAGTATTAGCAAACCTCACTGCAAGGATATTAGTCCTAGTCCTGATAAAGTAGAACTCATCTGTCTTGTACAGGTCTCACCTGCCCCAGACCTGGTTCCATGCTTTAGAAATCTGATGCCCTCCCTCCAGTTTTCCAGCCACACAACACTCTCTTTGCTCTTATTCTTCTGATAGCCATGAGAGAAGCCCAGTGTGGGCTTCTGTCAGCTGCAGGAAGCTTTTGGTCTTGTTTTGGTTCTGTGCTGCTCCTTAACCCTGGTTTAACACTCAGCTGCGCAAGAGTGGCAACTCTCAGAAGCTCTCTCAGCTGTGAGACACTTTTTTTAAATGACCCCTGAGCATCTCTGATATGATAGCAGCTTCTTTTCATTATTGAAGTTGCATTTATCGTCTTCCTCACCCACTGCTGTTGTGGGTGACTTTTTTTTGTCTTTTGCTTTTTTCTTCCCCCCACCCCTACCCCTTTCCCCCCCCCCCCCCCCTTTTTCAAATCTGGCATTTTTTTAAAGGAAAGTCTTTCTCTGCCACCATCGGTTGCTCATGCACAATTTCACAAGTGGTTAACCTGCACCCTGATCCCAGATGACTGGTGGCTGTTCAACTGCAAGAGCTGTCACAGCCCAGTATGTTTTGCCCCGCCCTCCTCCAAGTGCATTTTCAGCAGGTACAGATCAGAAGGTTGATGTGAGATGCTTGAGATCATTTCTCGGAGTGGGTTGGGGAGAACTCCGCTGAGCTCAAGTCAGCTGCTGTAACCTTGGAACGATGGTGTACACTCTTGCATCTGGATTCACCTCCACCACCATTTTTGAGAATGGCAGATTGAAGTGGGTTGGGCGAGAGGGTGTTGGGAAGGAGTGGGTTGGATAGGCTGCACTGTTGGCAGAGAGCTTCAGGGAGGTGCTGGCCTGTCGGCCATGGCTGGGTGGTAGTGCTCATGCCTCGGAGGCAGGAGGCCCTTGGTCCAAAGCTCATGACTGAAGCCAGGTCTCTCGATCCAGGTTGTTAATCTATTGCTATACTGAGGGAGTGCTGCAGAGTTGGACAGGCCTCCTTGGTGGTTACCACTGCTGCCCGACAGCGCCAGGAACCTGGGTTCGATTCCACCCTCGGGTGACTGTCTGAGGAGTTTGCACATTGTCCCCTTGTCTGCGTGGGTTTCCTCCCGCAGTTCAAAGAAGTGCATGCTAAATTGCCCATAGTGTTCAGGAATGTGTAAATTAGGTGGGTTATAGGAGTGCTCTGAGGGTCGGTGGGACTTGTTGGACTGAAGGGCCTGTTCCCGTACTGTAAGGATTCTATGATCTATGTTCAGTTGCTCAATTCTCTTGTTTCCTATGGTCACACCATGTGGAACTAGGAGTAAGTCTGAGGTGAACAAACGTCACCGGCGCAGGAGCTGGCTCTTCGGTCCATCAAGCTTACCCCCATACATGTCTTTCTAAACTTAAAAACCTTTAGCCTATTTACAATCTGTATCCCTCTATTCCTTGCCTACGCATGTATTTGTCAAGATGCCTTTTGAATGTTGCCATTGTATCTGCTTTTATCACCTCTGGCAGTGCATTCCAGGCACTTATCGCCCTCTGTAAAAAGAGGAAAATACTTGCCTTCCTGTCTCCTTTTAAACTTTCTTCCTCTTTCTTTTAAATCTATGTCCCCTAGTAATTGACATTTCTACTCTGGTATAAGACTTTTTGACTACCCATTCTATCCAAGTGAAAATAAGCCAAGTTTGTCCAATCTCTCCTGGCCTGGTAAAACCAAGCCTGTACCCTTTCCAAAGCCTCTGCATCTCTCTAGGGTGGCAACCAGAATTGTACGCTGTATTCCAAATGTGGCCTAACTAAAGTTCTATACAGCTGCAACGTGACTTGCCCTGATTGAAGGGAAGCATGCTGTATGCCACTTTGACAACTTATCCATTTGTGTTGTTACTGTCAGGGAGATGCGGACCTGTATGCCTAGATCCCACTGTGTATGTTAATGCTTCTAAGGGTTCTGCACTTACTGTGTGCTTTCCTCTTGTATTAACCTTCCAAAGTGCATCACCTGGCATTTGTTCAGATTAAATTCCATCTGCCATTTCTCTGTCCAGATCTCGAGCCAATCTGTATCCTGTTCTACCTCCTGGCAATTCTCCTTGCTATCCACAGCTCCTCCAATCTTTCTGTCATCTGTCATCTGCCAACTTACCAGTCAGGCCACATACTTGCACTCTGCTCTAAATCATTTTTATATATTATAAACAACAGGGATCCCAGGACTCATCCCTGCAGAACACCGTTGGTCACAAATATCCAGTCAGTAAAACATGCTTCCACTGCTACAGTGTCTTCTATAACCAAGCCAGTTGTGTATCCATCTTGCCAGTTTGCTGCTGGTAAGTCACGTAGGGTTGTGACTTCGCTGGCTGTCTGTTCCAGCCTGCTGTGAGACCTTGTCAAATTCCTTGCTAAAGTCCATGTAAACAACATCCACAGCTCTACTGTCATCAACATCCTCTTCACTTCCTCAAAAAAAAACTCAATCAAATTTGAGACATGACCTCCCCTGCACAAAGCCATGCTGCCTGTTGCTAATAAGCCTATATTTTTCCAAATGTGAGTAAATTCCATTCCTAAAAATCATCTTCAATAATATCTCTTCCTCTGACATGAGGCATGTTGGCCTGAAATTTCCTGCATTATCCATGAGGTTCTGTTAAAGGAACAATGTTGGCTGTTCTCAGGTCCTCTGGGATATTTCTTGTGATGAAAGAGGATACAAAGATTCCATACAAAGGCTGCAGCAATTTCCTGCCATGCCTCCCTCAGCAGGTTCTGGGAACTTGTCTACCTTCTTTGATGCTTTTCAAAACAACCAACACCACTGCTTTTTTTAATGTCAACATAACCTTGATTATCAACATGCCCCTCTCTAGAATCCACATCTTCAATGTCCTTCTCCTTTGTGAATACCAATACAAAGCATTCATTAAGGACCTCGCCCACTTGCTTTAGCTCCCTGCATAAATTTCCTCCTTTGTCCTCAAGTGGACTTACTCTTTTTTTTCCCTCGCTATCTCTTGCTCCTTTTTAAAAAAGGTACTGTATGTCTAAAACACCTTTGGATTTTCCTTCTAATCCTGTTTGCCAAAGATATTTAATGGCACCTTTTTAGACCACCTAGCACCTTTAAGTTATTTCCTGCTTTCTTTATGCTCGTCAAGGGTTCAGTCTGTCTTCAGTTTCCTAAATGTTGCGTATGCCGGTTTTTCCTCCTTGACCTAAGGTTTTGACATACAAGGTTCCTGAATGTATGTTTGTTTTTTTTTCAGAATCCCTACAGTGTGGATGCAGGCCATTCAGCTCAACACCACACTGACTCTCCAAAGAGCATCCTACCCAGACTCTCATCCCTACCCTATCCTTTGTAACCCTGCATTTCCATGGCTAATCCACCAAATGTACACATCCCTGGGCATTATGGGCAATTTAACATGGCCAGTCCACTTAACCTGCATGTCTTTTGGACGGTGGTAGGGAAGCAGAGCATCCGGAGGAAACTCTGACGCAGGGAGAATGTGCAAACTCAATTGCCGGAGGGTGGAATTGAGCCCAGGTCCCTGGTGCTGAGAGGCAGCAGTGCTAACCACTGAGCCACTGTGCTTGCCATCCTTGTTCTGCGTTTTCGCAGGAGCGTGCTGGTCTTGAAATCTAATCAAAATCAGTTCTGAGGAAGGGTCACCGGACCCGAAACATTAACTGTTTTCTCCTCCACAGATGTTGCCAGACCTGCTGAGCTTTTCCAGCAACTGTTTTTGTTCTTGAAATCTAATCAACTGGCTTTTAAAGGATACACATGTCACAGGTGTGGATTTATCCTGACTGCTGCCCCCAATCTACATAAGTTCCTGCTTAATATTGTCATAGTTAGCCTTTCCCCAGTTTAGAGGACTAGTCTTATCCTTATCCATACTAAATTTAAAAGTTAGGGAACTATGGTCACTGTTTCTGCAGTGCTTTTGATGTTGTTTTTGTCTCTTCGCTCTTCTCTTTCTCTACCCCTGCCCCCCCCCCCCTAAAATCTGGTGCCAAAGAAGTCTTGCAAGTAATGACCCAAGTTGGGTAATGTGGACCATGACCCCTGTTGTGAAAGAGTGTGAACGCTGTCAGCTACTCCATGACACCCTTGACCCTGGCACCAGAGAGGCAACGCAGCATCTTGAATCATGTCTATGGCCATAAAGGAGCCTGTCTGTCTCGGTCTAATTTGGGAATGCTTCGTATTAATTCCAGTTTTTTAACTTAAAAGGAGAATGTAAAGTTAGTTTTAGTTTTGTTTTAGTAAAATTTAAAAGCACTAAAAAGCCATGTCTGATTCCTAAATTTTTCTGTACTGTCACTTGGCTTAACTGTTTTAATTGAACCTCTTGAGTTTGAGGTACAAATGATGCTTTTCAATTCTTAACAACAGGGTTGAAAACAACTGTTATCCAGTTTTACCTAACCTTTCTCCTGTTCTTTGAAATCTCAGGTTTTAATAAATCAATTAGCAAATTCAAAGACAAATTAATCGTCCTGCAAACAAAGACAAGGTTCTCTCTTGAATTTTCTGGACCCAAGCAATGTGACAAAGCAGGCAATTCAACGAGATATCAAGGATGACTGGAGGCTCCAGATGATCCTCTGTAATAAAAATGCTAATTTACATCCTTTCTCTCAAATCATTTCACTGCATCCAAACCATTTCAGAAAAAAAGTTAGAAATCTGAAAAAGTACAGAAATAGCTGGAGAAACTCAGCAGGTCTGGCAATGTCTGCCTTTGTACTAACATAAATATTGTTTCTGTGTAGCTGGGCAGCTAATCACAGCCTCATTCACCCAAAACAAATTTTACTAGAGTTTCTCTATGGAGAGTGCTGCTGCCATATTAGAGTGACTTCAGAAATTGGCTTCAATTTGCAAGGTTGGGGCACAGCTCATTTTGATGTAGTTTAGTAACAGAATTGACAAAGCTTGAGTCACCTTTAAATTGTGGAAATTATTATTCTGCCTACAGAAGTACGGAAGCTATGACTGCAAGAGGTCACCATACCAGCAATTTATTTTTAAGGCAGCCTTTTTCCTGATTCTTGAAAGATATTTGTTAGAATTTTGTGCAGAGAAAAAAAGATTCAGGGAGTGGTGGAGGTTAGAACCTTGGAAGAAATATCTGGCACTGATTGCAGGATTCAAATGGCAAGCTTCAACCCCACTTACTCTTTTTCTCATTTTTGCACAACTTTTTGCATTATGCAGTTGGGTACAAATAGACGCATGTTTTCAGTGCTATATTTCTGGAGTTATGGGTTAATGCTACAGTAGTTTTTTTCTAGCCTTGTGTGATATGACAAGAATACGCTGTTTTGCAGCTAGACTCGTCTTATTGACCAAGTAAGAATACAGATTTGTTTTTGTACTTGCAATTTGTGATAACTTTTTCGGTTGCTATAATGTTAAGAGTCAATCAATGTCAACATTATGCTAGTTGGGTCCCTAACACACACCTATAATTTATAGAACTCTAATTATCTATATTTTAAGTAATTTAAATGTGTCTTGTGTTGAATCAATCACTGTTAATTGGCTTTCAATGAATGCTAGCCCCTGCAAGTCCATTGGAACAATTAAGCTAATTTTAGAAATGATCCAAAATCTCTAAATGGAAACTATAAACAAAACCATTAACTAACTTGCGGTTTTTTAAGCTATATGCACTGCCAATTAGGCAGCTAATGTGTCTTTGACTTTTAATTCACTGTTCTTGCCAGCCTCAACTTGGAGTTTGCTGGGAGAAATTGTAAACACTTATTACAGGCAGATGAGAGAAGTAAACTGAGCAATTTTAGTTTTCTTGCCATCTATGATTACAGACAGACTTTTTTCCCCCCACTTTGGATATTGCTTATTCCCCAAAACTTGTTTGTGAAATCGCATTGTTTAAGTGACCTGGCACACACACTCTGGTTAAATTGGAAGGAGGATTTACCTGTGCATTCAAAACTGGCGGATGATTAAAGCAGGGCATACATGTAAACTATTCCATTTCCTTCTTACAATTACATTTACATTTGCCTTGAAACAAAGGTATGGACGTGTGAATTCAGGAGTTCAGTGTAGTAAAGTATAATTCAACAAAGGTTCTTTTCTTGGAGCTTAGCTTAAACTTAGTTCAATTGGCTGTAAGCACATTGCAGTTTTTTTCAAGCTGACAAAACTGCAGTTTTCAAGTGATAACAGGAATTTTCTAGAGAATCTTAACTGCAGTACTGTTTTAATACCACTTTGGAAGTCAGTATATAACTGTATTTTCTGTCATCATTCTACACAATGTTGTGCAGTATAACAGCAACACTTCTATATTTGTTACAGTAGTGTGTGTTCTTATTGACACTAGGGGAAGGAAAGAGGTTTGTTAGACTGAGATCTGAACAAAACTTGCTTCAACAAATCCAGCTTTGTACATGCCACCTCACTTATGTTGTATCTCATTAGAATCTACATGGAGTATAATCTGTGCAGTGATTTTTCTTCTATGATGTATTACAATATGACTGATTAAAATTGGTCAGCTTTCACATTTAAGGCCACTAATTTGTCTCCTATTTTGGAAGGATTTTTCAATTTTGGCGACTTTGCAATAGAAACTCTATTTGTAAAGATACACTAGATTATTAAATGCACTTTTTTAAAGCGATTTGTTTGCTTACTGTTTAAAAATGAGTACATTTTAACTTGTTTACGTAACATCTATCTCAACCTCACTATCCCAAAATACTTGACAGCAAAACAACTTGGATTGCTAAGTACATTCACTACACTTCTTTCCAATTCCAAAAATCATTCTTTTGCATCTACTCGGTTTATAAATCTTTTCCCCTTTTTCAACCATGATCTGTGTAACTCATTAGTAATTGGCCTAATTTTTCACCCCTCACTTGTTTCAATTGTCTAGTAACTAACTGGGTGTAATACAAGGGATGCACAGGTGACACAGGCTATATTGTGGAGACGCATGGGTGTTTGAAACATGGCATGGCATGTCATGTGGTGAACGATAAGACCACTCGTCACCTCGCTAGTGGTTCACTTTTATACTCTGTATAAGTTGAGCACTTAAGTTTGGAGGGATTTTTCTTTTGAGCCTTCAAAGGATTACATATCAGCATCAACACTACTTTTTTTAAAACAAAAAGTTACAGACACTCCTGTATTGTAGGAATTGGAGCAGTCAACTTGGACTCACTGTCATCTTCCCACAATTAATAATGCGATGACAACCAGGTAATTTAGGTATATATTGACTAGGACAGCAGAGATAAGAGCTAGGGAATTCTAATTATGACTTCAGGATCTTGTGCTGCCACCTGAGTAGAATCAAACTGCTCAAAAAGATCCAGTAGGTGAGTGTGTTGTGAAAGTGACTTGCTGCATTGAATGTAGGAAGGTGGTGAAACTGATGTAGTTTACCATCTGCTCGATTGTGTTCCCATTTATATACTCATCAACTCTTGTGTGTGTTTTGAAAAACATGGTGTGGATCTTGGCAATACTTGGGAACAAAGCACAAGTACATGTTCACTCATTTCTTAGCTGAGGAGATCCATCAGGGCTGCACTGCTGTGATACTGTCTGTACGAGATATAGCATTCTGGTGGATGACAGCATGGTCACAAATATTTGGGTGGAAGAATTGTTCTAGGTATGTTACCTAGGTGATGGTATCCCGGATATGAAATTCTCTGAAATCCATGAGTTTGTGCAAAGGAAGGTGGGATTCGGGAGTGTCCAACTCGGTGCTGATTGAGCAGAGAAAGGAAGTCCCATCTGCACTAGTTCATCAACACCATTGATATAGATTTCATCTTGCCAATCAATAAGTATTTACTACTTTTGGTTATAGTGGAAGCTTTCATTGCAATCAAAACTACAGTTCTCGACAGTGTTATTGCTTTGAGCCACTTTTCACAAGCCACATGTTGGCAAATAAAGGTATCACTTTGCAAATTAAGTTTTTTAATTTAGCATTGACACACGGCCAGTGCATTATTCTGATCAGACTAATCTGTGTCTTGGGATTGGATGAGCTGCTGTATATCATTCTATCAATTTTTTTAATGCTAGCTTGCCTATCTAAAGAAGAAACGCCTAAATAGTTTGACACAAATACTGAGAGCAATACTACTGAATTTCCTGAGTTTTTGAGCATGTAAAAGAAGCCCTGAACACTAAGGCAAACAGCTGTTGAATCCAATTACTAGCCTTTTAAAAAGGCTGCTAGCCATTCAACCCTGGGTTAGTTCATACTTCAACATTGTGCTGCGCAGTTACTTGACAGTAGCTGATCATATGATACAATGTGAAGGATTGATTGTTCCTCCTATGCAGATGTATTTAAAATTTGCTTTGATCTCCATCAGTTTTGGCATTCACTAACTGGGAAATGGATGAGCTTGAGAAACAGGCAAAATAAGTCATAAATGGAATATTTTTGCGTATCATTGTACAGACATGCTATTGTACATGAGCATTTTTTTTAAAAGTTGCATAAGGGAGTTTGTCATCCTTGATTTTGTTATTCCATAACACCAGGGTTTCTGCTTCTATGGTCATCAACTTATTCCTCAACATTTAAGTGAATGAATGAAATATCAATAATTGACCAGTACAAATATGGAAAACATCGGATAATTGTGTGGAATTATTAAGATTGTGTCTTGGAGGTATAACTAATCCAATACTCCACTGTTCTTGTGTCTCAGCTTGCAGGAACTGCAGTCCTGGCAATTGGATTATGGCTACGTTTTGACCCACAAACAAAAGACATATTTGAAATTGAAGACAATCCTTCATCTTTCTATATAGGTAAGATTCTGAATCTTTGTTGGCACTATTAAATTTAACTGATAGAAGATGGGAATTGTACAACAAAGGAAATCAATTGCACTCAACTGAAATTCTCTCATTTGTACATCTAAGGGCGGCATGGTGGTTCAGTGGTTAGCACTGCTGCCTCAGCGCCAGGGGCTCAGGCGACTGTCTGTCTGTGTGGAGTTTGCCCGTTCTCCCCGTGTCTGTGTGGGTTTCCTCCCACAGTCCAAAGATGTGCACGCTAGCTGGATTGGCCATGCCAAATTGCCTGTAGTCTCTAGGGATGTTTAGGTTAGGTGGGTTATAGGGGGATGGGTCTGGGTGGGATGCTCTGAGGGACAAGGTGGATTTGTTGGGCCAAAGGGCCTGTTTGAAGGGATTCTATGATCTATAAAATACACTAGATGTACCTGTCATCCTCTTCTACAGTAAACATGAAAGCTTGGCTTTTGTGTATGGATTTGGGTAAGTGACGACTAACGTTAGTACACGGTGGCTTGAGTTAGCACCTGTGAAGTAACTATATATGAACTTGCACTGTGGGAGGCTATCCACTTTGGTAGGAAGAACAGAATTGAAAGTTTTTCTGAAATGATTCTAGATTGGGAAGTATTGACATCCAAAGTGATCTGGGAGTCCTTGTTCCTACAGTGATGTGCAGGTGAAGGAAAGAGTTAGGAAGCAAATGGCATGTTGGCCTTTAATCAAAGTGCATGAAAGTACAAATGTTTTCTATTATGCATAACCTTGATGAATCACCAGTTGAAGTATTGTACAGTTTTGATCACCCTACCTAAGGAAAGACACATTTTCCATAGAGGGAGTGTGGCAAATGTTCACAGGACTATTCCTGGGGAAGTGGAAGTGTACTTTGAGGAGTCTGGGCTGGCATTCTATAGTTTTAGAATAATTAGAAGTGATTTCATTGGAAGTTAGGCTTTTAAAGGACCAGACTAGGTAGGTGAAAAAAGAATATTTGCCCTGCCTGGGGTGTCCAGAACCAAGGGGGCACTGTCTTAAAATAAGGAGCAAGTTATTTGGGACTGAGATGAAAAGGACAATCTCTCCACTCAGAATGGGAGAAAGTTTGATAGAGGCCTTCAAAATTGAGAGATTCTTTATGGTGAATAAAGAGAAAACTTCTTCCAGTAACAGAAGGATCAATAAATAGAAGGTGAATATGTATTTAGAATCAGAGGTAGTGTGAGGGGTGGGTGGGGGGTGAGTTCTGATCTGGAATTCAATCTGGAAGTGGAGGATGCAAATTCTGAAATCTTAAACAAGAAGTGAATCAGTACTTGAATCAGGAACACTTACAGGACAATGAAGAATAAGCCGGGAAGTAGATCGTGGTATAGTTCTTTAAATAGTTGGCACAATGACGATGAATGGAATAGCTACTTACTGTGCTATCACTTCTAATTCTATCATAAATCTGTGTGCAGTTTTCACATACTTCATGATTAAAACTTAAACCTGAAATGTTTGGCATTTTTTAGTGAAGCTTTCCTGTATTGCTAGTTAAACTACACTGAACACAACGTTGAATTGGAGTTCAGGGTCCCCACCAGATTTTCATTTGTTAGCTCTGATATGTCTGGACTTGGTAAAAGGAAGTCAGCGAATGATGTTGCTTGTTGTGAGTTTGTGGTCATCTCAGTATTGCTGAGCCCTGGTTCTGTTTTTTGCAAAAGGTGAGAGGAATAATGATGCTTCACTGTCTGGTACTAAACGCTCGAGTGAATAGAGGTGAAAGAACAGATTTCTTGTACAACCTGAACTTCTAATTTCCTGCACTTTTATGTACTCCCTGCTTGGAATTTCCCAGGTTGGCTTTCCAAAGGAGGATATGGGCATAGAATGGATGTTTTTCTGTGGTATGCAATACAATCCTCTGCCTTAGTTAGCCTTCAGCAAACAAACTAAGAGTGGATGCATTCATATTGTCAGGAGGACACATAGTTGTGATGAAGTCCTGAAATGGTGTTACTCCATTTTTTTAAAAAAAAAATCACTTGCAGGAGATGCATTTTTTTTATTTAAAATCTTGCAGGCTGTCAACTCCTGCAACACATTTGATATGTTAATCACCACACAGCAAACATCTTATAACCAGTATTCTTGATATTGCTGACTCCCTTCAAGTGAGACTAATCCTAGAAGTTAAGGTGAGGACGGGATAGTTAGGGGATGTTGCATACAATATGCAACAATATTAGTGAAGACTTGACCATGTGCTGTGATGCCCATCCATTGCAGAGTAGTACTAAATTGGGCAAATGATTCTGAACCACATTAAATGGAGTGGGTTATCTGAAACAATGCTTCAAATTCAGCAAATATAGGGAGATGGATTATATATCGGCAAAAAACACTTTGCAGTAAAAATTGCCTTAGTTCTAGAGGACCATATGCTGCTCTTTCTAGAGAGATGACTGGTGATGGATGAATCTGAACATTAGCACACCTGGGGAGAGGTTGAGAAAACAAGTCCTTTATGGTAACTTCAAGCAGTGCTAGAATTGAGCCCATGCTGTTGGTATTACTCTGCATTGCAAATCAGCTGCCCTGCTAATCAAACCCAGGTCAACTGCTTGGACAATAGTTATGCTCACCTCTGTACCATGATTGGACTTGGGAGTAACGGCAAACATTTCGTATAAGGTGACTTAATGTTAGGAATAGGTTTCTGGGCAGGGCAGGACAGTAGAGGGAAAAGATTCCAAATGGATACTTTAATCAGAAGTAGTAGGTTTATGTGAATTAAAGTTGACGTGATGGGCCTCTCATTACAATTTTTGAGTGACATCTCAGGCTGTGCGTCTATTCAGTAATAAAGTTATTCCTGCACCAAACCCCATAGAAATTACTTTTCTTTTCTCTTTTTAGGCCAACCCTCATGACAAATGCACAATTTCCAACATTGTTTCCATTTAAATAGGTTTGCAAATGTATGTGGGAAGTGCAATCCTCCTTCAAAAGCATTGCTTTCAATTGTGTAGGGGTGAGGGAATAATTGGCATATACTTGTGCCCATCTTAACTCTTCGGTTTCTTAGTCACTTGACTGTTCCCAGCATTTTCTTTGAACTTCTGAATCAGATTAAAGTTTATTTTCAGTTCTGATGGCCTCAAATGTTTCAATTGTAGCAGTGTGGAGATTACTAACAACTCTTGCACTGAAAACTGCTTAAGAGTTTAAACCCTCTTTCCTTCAGAGACTTTTTACAAATGAAACTACTGGCCTCCTGGGATGACTTCTGTCCTTCTGAACTCGACCTATTGGTGGTCCCTGTTCATCTATTTTTTTTTATACCATAAAGCTCAACATTGTAAACATTCAGCAGTTAACTTCTCAGCTATCTAACCAAGCCATATGCTTTCTTGGTGAAGCTGTCTGAAGTTCACTGCTTAAAATGACTGATATTTGCTTTAAAAAGAAAGTTTTCAGTTTTATGACTAAGATGTACTTGTCAGCTCACAATCATGTTCAAGTTCCCAACTCATGCCAATACATTGCATTCTTGAACCACACACTCTAAAGAATCACTTCTCCCTGTTTACTTCTTTCCACTAGAACACTAATTTTGTGGGGTGGTGGATTGTTTTCTATAAACTGATAATTGAAGTGCATGTGGGTGTGACCTAACCTTGATCTAAATGACTTGCGGTTTGTTTTAAATGGTACAGGATCTGGAACGTTTGCAGCAGCTAAAGAGAACAACCTTGTACATTTAGTCTTTCCTGTTCCTTGTAAAGAATGACTTTGTGGAATGTTAATCATTTACAGCTTGCGTGCTAAATTGTACTGTATAGATCTATAGGTGTGGGAGAAGTACAGTTCTGCCTTTCTAGAACGTGTTAATTTGTTTAATTTTGGGAATCATTTAACATTCTAAGATTAGCTCAAGCTGTAAAAGAATTGATCAAACAATAAACACCTTTTTTGGTATATATATGGTATGGAGCTGGAGGAACACAGCAGGCCAGGCAGCATCAGGAGCAGGAAAGTTGATGTTTTGGGTCGGACTCGTCAGAAATTCTTCAGAAAACACTCGCAGGTCAGGCAGCATCAAATGAGTGA